GTCTTCCTGTCAGTTGTAGTAATTGACCACAACTTTCAGTTGCTTTGGGAAAATATTTTTGGACACTGATGGTATAGCCAAGAATAGAGACCTCTCAACTTCCTGTTTCCTTATTAGAAACTGGTATCCACTTTGTCTACTAGCTTATCCTAACTATTTAAATATAAAGTACAAATAGCAGAAGCCACCTTAATTTAAAACATCTAAAAGAGGACATTCTTCTAAAAGAAAATCATTTCTGTCTATTCCCTCTTTGGGGGGACAGATGGGGGACACTGAGGGTTTAACCCAGGGGCAATTTACCACTGAGCTATATCCCCAGCCCATTTTTTAAAAAATTTTGAAACAAGGTCTCATTAAGTTATTTAGGGCCTCACTAAGTTGCCAAGGCTGACCTTGAACTTGCAATCCTCCTGTCTCAGCTTCCTGAGCAGCTGGGATTGCACCCATGTACCACTGTGCCCAGCTTCCCTCTTTTAACTAAATAGAGAACATCTCCTATATTATTTTTCTATAACACAAATTAGCCAGTACTCCACAATCTGAAAAAGTCTTTCCTTTTTATAAATTACCTTTAATTCATAACATTTCAAATTATCCAGAAAGATTGAGATCTTTGTTGCTTCAAAAGACCAAAATTAAGGACTTAACATAATGATAATCCATCTTTGAGGAATTACTATGCGCCAGGAAATGTGCTGATCACAATATCTCCTCATGTTAACCTTACAGGATGGGTACTATGATATGCCCACTCTTCGGATTAGAGGCTCAGAGAGATGGAGTGGTTGCCCTAAAATGAGGTGCTGAGGCAGGATAAGAGACCTGGTCTGTTAGTACAAAAGCCTATGGGTTTCCTCAATATTGTTGCTTAGTTTTTAAAGACCAAGACTTGACTTCCGATACCCTCTAACATGATATTGTCAGGAGCCAGTTCTCTCCTTGTAAGCAGAGATATAAAGGTTGGGGAGGTCAAAAAAAGAGGGGGAAATAATGAATCAGCTCAACTCTGAGCAGGGGTTCTCACACACCTGATTCCTGGTCTACTAACATCTGTGTCCATGCAGGGGCCAGTATCATATTGGGCGTCCTGTTCTACCTGATGCAGGCCCACAAGTTCCTGCAGGAAGGCATGACCTACAAGCTGGGCATCAGCTTCTATCTGGCATGGACTGCCGTCTTCTTATTCCTGATGAATGGTCTGAGTTGGGATGGGTTGGGTTCAGGCATGGCTTCAGGGATGCAAATATGTATTGTGTGGGATAGTTTGGGATGGCAGTGGGGTTGCAGACAGCGCTAGGTAGGGTGGTTTTGAGGTGTAAAAATGGGGTTTAGGACACACATGGGGCTGGATGTGGGATTGGGTTTGAGTTTAAAAGTTGGTTGGGGACAGTGTAGGAGATAAAGCCAAGTTTGGATTTAGGGATGGGTTTGGAGATAAGGAATGAGGAAGGGTTTGGAGATAAATTAAGGAATGAGGATGGGTTTGAGGATGGGATTGGATGCAGTGTAGGATTAATCTAGTGAACTCTGTATCTCACGCCCTCTGTCATCTTCCTCTCCCAGGTTTATTCTCCTATCTGAATTATATGAATTTCTGGTCCATCCTGGCGATCCAGGCCATCTGGGCTTAGCACATGGGAATGAGCCCACAAATGGCCTGCTCTCATGGCTACTTGTCAAGCACCTGACAACCCTGCTGTCTAGCCCCCACCCCCACCAAGAATCTTGTATTTTTTTCAGTCTCCTCTGACCTCCCCCCAAACTCAAATTAATAACCTATATTTTGAAATAACCTGTATTTTCTTTTTTTTTAAGAGAGAGAAAATTTTAATATTTATTTTTAGTTTTCGGCAGACACAACATCTTTGTTTGTATGTGGTGCTGAGGATCGAACCCGAGCCGCACGCATGCCAGGCGAGTGCGCTACCGCTTGAACCACATCCCCAGACCCTAACCTGTATTTTCTGCCCGGAATATTCTTTATTTAGTTCTGTTCCTTGAAAGCATTTTGTGGAACTGCTATCTTTCTGATGCAGCCATTCTTGGGTTCTCTGGGTTTGGAGGGACAGGGAAGGAAAGGGACTCAGAGGTAAGGGACCAAGGCGCAAGATCAGCAGGGACTGGACAATGATCCCTGGCATACAGATGATGTCCAATCAATGTTTATGTTAAGAGCTGATTCTCTCCCATGCCCTTTGTCTTCAACTTTGACTTCTGCAATCCCCAATAATTTACCCTTTTTGAGGTAATTCTCTCTCCACCTTTAATTCATCTCTCTCCCTTAGTAGCAGTCTGACACTCACCCTGTCTTTCTTTTTCCCCAAGTCCCTTGACACAAGGCTCTTCTATGTAGCAGTTTTTTGAAGAAAGTTTGGGGCTACCACTTGTTGAACAACGCAGGGTTGAACACACAAATACAAAATTATATCATTGCCCAGGTCCCCCCACAGGACCTCACCCTCGAGCTCCCCTTTATCTCCTCACAGAGTGGTCAAGCTGCCAGGCTTTTGGTCTGGGCTTTGCCACTTAGTAGCTCTGTGACTGTAGCAAGTTGTTGAACCCATTTGGGTCTAGGTTTCCTCATCTATAAAATGGGGGTAATGATAGTACATGAATCTAGGTAGAATTTGACAAAATGCCACCAGAAAATGTGCTCCTTCCATGTGTTTATGATAACCTTCCCTTATCTCCTGCTATAGTTCCCCAAATCCATTCTTTTTAAAATAGATGGAGCCACAACTATGTGCCAGACACTGGATCTATAGGAGTGATCAAACTAGACACAAATCCTTATCATTGTGGAATTGACATTTTAGCAGAGAGGCCAAAAAAAAAATTAACCATAAACAAATAGGAAATAATATGTTAGGGAATAAGTGCTATAATAAAATAAAGGAGGATAAGGAATATGGGGCTAGGAAGGAGGGGGCCTGACTGGAGTGGAGGCAAGGCAGGGGGACTCTATGCTAAGCTGACCTGAGCACAGACATGACTGAGGGATGAGAGAGCCATGTAGACTGGCAGAGTTCTAGGCCCATTAAGACAGAAGTGCAAAGGTCCTGAGTTGAAATGTACTTGGCAGGTCCCAGGAACACCAGAGAGGCCAAGAAGGGAGAGAGGAAGAAGATAAGTGCAGAGAGGGAACAGAGAGGTGAGATCACTCAGAGCCTTGTGGGTCACAGTGAGAACTCTGCTTTTGCTCTGGAGTGAGGAGTGATGGAAACATCTCATTTCCGAAAGGCAGAAACCTAGTCTTTTCCTTTCACTTCAGACCACTAGGTCCATGCAAGGAATCTCCTCATCAGAAGGAAGAAAGCAATCCAGATGACCAGGGAGACCAGCTAAAGAAAGTATGTACTATTCACACAAAAGATCAAAGTATTTCCATCTCCTTATGTTGTGGGGACAAAAGAGGCAAGGCACCGAAGGTAGCAGGAAACAGTTTTATTTGGCTGCAGACAGGTTCAGAGGGTACAGTCTTTGCTGTAATCAATCAATCTTCTGAACCCCGAATACAGGTAATTTCAGAGTTTTATACCCAGCATGTAAGGGGGGCTCAGAAGTTCCACAGTCTGCAGAAGTTCACACAAAAGCAGCTTTTTCCTTCACTGTTTTGGGCAAGTTAATACTTCAAGGACAACACCTGAGAAGGGAGAGCTTCTTCTCCCCTTTCTTTCTTCCCCTGCCAGCTGTTACCATGGAGCCCAATTGGTATCTTCTCTTATCTTAAAAAATGTAGACATCTCTGTGAAGCCCAGCTCAAGGCCAGAAGCCTCCTTAGCACATTTCTACAAACTACTGGATACATTTGTGAAAAATTATTAAGGGGGTGCCCAGCACCTGGAGTGCTGGTATCTTCCTGGCCGGTGGCCAAGCAAAACAGGGCAACAGGAAAATAGGAAATTTATCCATATTGAACTTTTTCTCAAGAGACTCTTTGGCTGACAGTCCCAAAATCAGCCATGGTGAGAATTCCTGGAGAAGCCCAATTAAGACATTTTCTGTGGAGAGAGGGGGTGCCACTTCACTTACACGGGAAGAGTGTTTGTGGGGCAAACTGGAACGGAAAAAAGCATCTGTGTGTGTGTGTGTGTGTGTGCGCGCGCGCGCGCTCGTGCCCAAGTACAAAATCCACACCCAAAAGGTGATGGTGGCAACCTCTGGTGAGTAGGTCTGGAGTGGAAAAGTTTCATTTACTTTCAAAATAAACATCTTTAGAATCACGTTCATTGAAAGACACTCCCTGAATCTCCAACCCCTCAAAGAATCCAGGACCCCAGGCCTAGAACCACCTAAACGGTGGGGAGCTCCAAGTCCAGTTCTTCAGATTCTAAACCAAACAAAGGTTTCGGGCCCTGCCCTCCTCACCGAGACCCCGGAGTCCCACCTCCCCGCGCCGCGTCCTGGCTACGGCCCCGCCTCTCACCGCGCGGGTTGCGCCTCTAACTCGGCGCCACGCGGCGCTTTCCCAGCACGGTCCTCTGTCAATCTCTGCACTGGCTCCGCCTCCCACTATGCGGCTGAGACCCACTTTGGGCCCGCCTTTCAGCGCCGGCCCCGCCTCTGCATCCGCAGCTCCACTACTGCCGCGCTGGCAATTCCCGTTGCTTCCCTTTTTGGCTCCACCCGTCCTCGGGGGCCTTTCTCTTGGCGGCCCTCGTTTGGAGCTGTCCCCAGAATTGCCTGACGCGCGAGACAAGACTTTCGTAATAGGTATTCCCTTGAACCTGTTTTTTCCCGCCTCTAGAGACAACATCTTCCCGCTTGCTCTGGAATATTCTAGGGACGACCGCCGTTTTTCCTTTCCTCAACTCCAAGGCCGAGTTCCCGACACAGGCGCGTACCTTGGGTGCCCCAGGGCGGAAACCAGACTGACGTCGGGGGCCGAGCCTTGAGAGCGGCGCGTACTATAAAGCGGGACTCGCTGCGGCGCGCGCACGTTTTGCGGAGTGGGAGAAGCAGGTGAGGTGGTGCTTTTCGCTCCGCGCGCCTCTCGGTCTGTGCGGCCGGGCTCTGGGACGCACGTGTCGCGAGGTGTCCTGGGCTGCGGCGAGAGTGCCGTGTCGCGTGGACGGGGTCTCGGACTCTTTCGGGCCACATCGAGGGCGCTGCGGGTTGAGCCTGGAGGTCTAGTGCGGGGAGGGTGGAGGCGCTTAGGCGGCGATTCCTTCCACCAGGTGGGTCGGGCGCGGGGCGCCGGGGCGGGCCTTCCTTTGTCTGCAGCGCGGATGGGCTGCGCCATTTCTGTGCCCACGTCGCGGGTCTCCGCCATCTTGTCGGTTTTGCGGGCAGCTGAGAAGGGGGTGTGTGACTTGAGGGACGGAAGAGAAGAGGGTGTTGGGGTTTCTGTAAGGGCAGAGACGACATGCCGATTTATCAAGGAAGAAGTGGGTCTCCAAGTGAACTAACTGGGCTATTGCAAAGAACCAGGTAGAGCAGAAAGGAGACAAGGCCTTTGCTCACCTTCAAGAATTCTGACGGGTGGTGCAAATATCAGAGGGTTTTGTTAACTTGAATTCTGGGCTTGAGTCCTTAAGGTCTTCTGTAACTTAGTTTTCAAGACCCTGCCTTGGAGCCCCAGCCTGGAGTGGGCTACCTGATTTTAATCTTAATGTATTTGCAAATAAAGTTTGTAATTAACCCCAAATACCTCAACATTTGTTTCCTAAGGCTGACATGCTGTGTGTTAATGAAGCCCATTTCTTCATATGGTTATTTGCGATTTTCTTAGTGTTCAGTATTCCTAAGTCATCTTAAATGACTCGCAGCAGATTTGTTCAAACCTGACACAGTCAAGGGGTCTGTGACCATTGTTTATGTTGTTTAGCTTTATTTTCTCCCAGAACATTTCCTTTCCTCGTGCCTCCTACTAAAGGATTTGCATCTTAGCAATGCTCATGGTTCAGGGTCATTAGTAGGTATAGCTAGTTCAGGAAAGATTGGGGTCCTCTTCGTGTTAATGAGTTTGAAGGTCCATCTCAGGACCACTACTGTGTGGAAGTATGACAGTGAGAAGTTGGGGGTCAGTTGAGTTTTGTGTTTTCCTGTCTTTGAAGGTAATGGCCTTGAGACGTGATTGCACAGGGGCCACGGTTCCCATGATGCCTAGCACTGGGCTCTGATCATTCCTGAGGACACAGTGCTCTCCAGGACCTTTGACACCTGGGGGTCTGAGGAACCCTGGTTTTGATGGTCTGGACATATGAACTATTTCTTCCACACCCTCATCAAGTCCTTCCTATGTTACAGGTCTGTCTTCTAGCTGAGGGGTTACCCACCATCATCCCATCTTGGTAAGAAGCCTTGCTCCAATGCCCTGATCCATCCAGGTCTAAAATACAAGATGTCTTACATATGTGCCAGCAGTCTTACTCAGTATTACATATTAAAACCATTTTATATCCATGGGAACCCAGTCAACTACTCATACATCCAGACCCTAGTTCTGCTGTTCCTTGGCTTATAGAGGTCAGAGCAATCCCTCTTCTAAGCTTCAGTTGCTGTATTCATAAGGTGGGTGTATCTTCAGGAGCAGATGGTCTGAATCCTTTGCACAGTTGGGTGGTGCTGGTGGCATTTCCTGCTTTCCAAAGGCAAAGGGTTGAATAAGATGGGGAAGAAGAAGAGTATTTGGGTTTTAGGGAGAAGGAGTAATCAAAAAATTTTCAGACTGAACAGAGGATATGGAACATTGACTCAGCATTATCATTGCCTCTCATATTGCAGGTTTTGTGGACTGGGTACAGTGTACCTTTAAGCAAGTAGCTTACAGTCAAACATTTGGATGTGATTTGATAATTGAAGGAACCCTAAATTTACATAATAGCCATTGTAAAAATATCAGGATTTATTTTGAATGTTTTGTGTTTAAAAGAGCTACATCATAAGATAGGCATATATTTGTTATTGGGAAAAAAAAAAACAAGTGTTCTCAGTTCCAGGATTTTCTATTGCTCTTGGGGTATCAAGAGTAGGGAGGACAATGGCTGCAATGAAATAGACCTGAAAGTGTATCTCTGTGCTCTTGGAGGCTTAAGACCTTCCATAATCCAGGTTGTCCCCTGCAGAGCACTGAACAGGTGTGGATGTGGGGAAGTCCTGGAGAAAGGGAGTCAGCATGGTGCTATTTGGGCAGGGATGTTAGGTGAGCAGAGGAAAGAAACACCTTGAGAAACATGAACTCTGAGCTCTACCAGAGTCCCAGTGGAAGGTTGAGGCCCTGTTCTGGTTTTTACAGAAAAGTCCTGGTGAGGTCACTTTCCAAGTTAGAGTAACTGTTGGTGCCAGGTAAGCTGCAAGACTTGGTTAGGGAAAAAGCAGACCTGGGCTTTGGATCTGCCACTTGCCTGTAGGCTGCCCATAAGTACCTCCAGTCCAACCCTCCATGTGGAGGAGTGGCCTCAGGGTGGCTTAGGTTACTTGACTGCAGATCATCATAACAGAAGAAATATGTAGGGTTAAGCTGGACAGTGAGAGGTGGGCTAGGGGAACTAGGGGCTGTCATTTTCTTGCCCAGATCTCTGAAATTAATAAGCAGTGTCCTCTCAGGACTGCAGTGACCCTAGGATCTGAATAAGGGGGTAACACCAGGACCCCTGTGATGTCTAGCACTGGGCTCTGACCATTCTTTGAGGATAGTGTGCCCCCCGGGACCTTTGACACCTGGGGGTCTGAGGGGTCCTGGCTCCTGGTAGGGGATGGATTGGGATAACAATGATTTACCTGTACCCCACGGACCTTTTTTCCCTCCCCTTCTCCTGTCTGCAGGTGGCTTCTCCAGCTGTCCTGCTGCCCAGCTTTCCCTCCTGGTAAGGGCGGAGGAGCTGCCTGTTGGTAGGGAGCACAGCTCAGCGTCCTGTGCTTGTGAAGCAGTGGCTTCCTTAATCTCCATGGTAACCCTGTGCTGGGAGGGAAGGGAGGGCTGTGCTGGGCCTGGGTTGCTATCCTATCAGGGTTGAGCTTGGGGACCCCATGATATTCAGCCCTGGGCTCTGACTGCCCCTGAAGATACAGTGCCACCCAGGACCTTAGACACCTGGGGATCTGAGGGCCCCCACTCCAGGGAGGTGCTGGGTGGGGGTGTGGCCCTTTCTACTTCACACAGCTTCTGCAGCAGTGCCCTTCCTGACCCTCTTGCTCTTCCCTGCCTTGGGGCAGCTGTGGCCATGGCTGAGAGAGTGCTGGCACCCACCCAGATGGGCCGGGGAGACCGCTACTATACATATACTGAGCTCCTGGCCATTTCTCGGCGCTTCAAGCAGAACCCCAACGAGCTTATGATCACCTGGATCCTGCGGGTGTATGACCAGGGGGGCCCAGCTCTGTCCTTGAATTCCGGGGAGCTGGCACTGCTGGGTGACCTAACCCATGATGCCATCTTCAACTACCACTGCAAGACGCTGCGGGGTGGCTGTAAGACGCTGCTCACCTGGCTACTACAGGCCTGGCGCCAGCGCTGGGAATCCTTCCTGCACTTTGAGGCCACTGAACTGCCTTTCCGTCCCTGGACCACTATGGAGGAGGGCATCCAGCTGGTGCGTGAGCTGGGCATGCTCGACTGGATCTACCGCGAGCTGCCTTCGCCACTCTCACCTCCTGAGCCCGAATATGCAGCACCAGAGGACGTGCCTTTCACTCAGGGCCTGCAGAGACGCCTGCTTACAGCTGCGCCCTCAGAACTGCGGCTCTCACTGGTCAGCCTGCTGGTCAAGGGCATGACCGTGCTGGAGGCCGTGATGGAGATCCAGACAATTGCTGATGTAGGTTTGCTGTGGCGCCAGAGCCAGCCAGGCCGTGCCAAGCTCATGCTGGGGCCTAACCCCACACGCAAGGACCTCACTGGCTGGCTACTCAGCCATGGGGTGCCCAGGGAGAGAGTGGATAAGCAGCCCACCAAGGTCCTCCTGGAGCTGTACATCAAAGAGGCCAAGCGCAGCCGCAGCCAGCCAGTCTATGGGCTAGGAGAGGAGCAGCCGCCTCCACCTCCCTACTCTGACCAGGCCTGTGGGGAGGAGCCGCCCATACGCCATGACTAGCCCCTTCCAGTAAGTGGGGTGAGAGGCCAAACTCCAGAAGAGCTGCTTTCAGCCCAGAGTTCAGGGAGGACCTTTGCCTACACCTTTCCCATGTAACTCAAGCAGTTGTAGGTCATGTTCAGAGACCCTTAAAAAGAAAGGGGTGTCTTGTCCCTGGCTACTCCAGTTGCAGAGATGTTAAGGGAGTAGCTACAAAAACAGCCACTTGCCCAATTGGGCCTTGGAGTGGGTTGTGCCAACTTATCTTGGCCTGGCTGCAGGGTGATTGGGCACAGTAGTGGACTCACCCTCTGCCATTTGAGCCCAAAAGCACTAGGGGCCAATTGAATACCCCATAGCCTATAATACCTGGCATCTTGTTTTTACTTTTTTTAGGTTTTAGAGGCAATATTTTTACTTAATATGTTAAGCATGTATGACATTTTGGTTTTAGTGAAGGTCATTGCCTTTTCTAACTATTGTAATGCTTCCATTTTAAGGTGTGCTTTGCTGAGTGCCTCCCAGGGAGGGGCAGCCATCCCTCCAGGTGGGTCTGGTTTCTCAAATTTGTACATCTGGCCTTGGGCCGGTGTCTGAGGTAGGTTTAGGGGGATCTGAACCAGGATCACAGGTTTGGGGACAGCTGGTGGTGCTGTTTTCACAGGTACCCAATAAATGGTACGCATATCACCCTTTGTGAGCTGTGGTATTTGCTGTCCTGACATGGGCTGGGTCTGAAGTAGGGGAGATACATATGGGCTTGTCCACCTTCAGGGCCATCTCCATTGCAGTGATCTGATGGAAGTGTGAGCCTGATGTGACCAGGTGGGAACTGATCCTAGCAATAGGGATGGTCCCCCACCCCATGGGGTCTGTGAACCTGTCTGTGAACAGCCTCCCAGGGCCAGAAAGTACAAATGGGTCACAGCTGTTGCCTTCATTATTGGAGGCCCTGTGACTACTGGGCACCTTTGGTAACGACAAGCAGGTTGGCTGACCAGGGTGCTCCAGTGTGGTGGTGGTGTAACCACTGGTTCTCAACTGGTGGGAGAGGGGAGCTTCCCTCCTGGGGCCAAAGATGGCTTCCCACCTCCATTAGCATCAGAAAATAACACTTTAGGAACAGGAATGCTGACCAACCTGTAGGCAGTCGCGGACCTAACTTTTCCTGTGTGGTCCTTGCCTACCTTGCTGGCCACCCCCATCCTGGAGTGACCAGCCTTACCTTGCTCTCCAGGGGCTGCTGCCCTGAGGTGTGTGGAGCAAGGGGGCCGTGCTGGAGATGGACAGACACCTGCATGTTTGTCCACATGGGAGTACAGAAGCAGCCACGCGGCATGCATGTGTGTGCCACCTGCACACTGGCTTCCATGACAGGGAGCCCACCCAGCCCTTTTCCACGCACACAGACACAGTGACAAGCCAGAGCAGCGGGGAGAACACATGTTGGGATCCAGTCAGCTGAGGGGAGGTGCTACCCCAAGTTCCCAGCTCACACGGCCCCCCCTAAGGCCCGCAAGCAGCCAGGTCTCCAGGCCAACAAGCCGAGCCCCAGGCTGAGCACAGCCAGCAGGGCCACAGCTCCGGCCAGCAGGGGCACTGTGGTGGCTGCAGGAAGAACTTGGGGGTTGTGAATCTCAGGTCTGGGGGACCCCCAACTACTACCCCAGGGTAGAGAGCGGTCGCCTGGGGGAGTGGTAGTCTCATAGTCATGGCAGGGGGCCCCATGCACTGGCGGTCGGGCTGAAGCAGTCAGCTGGTGGAAGTGCCCTAGTGGGCAGGGGGCTGGGCACCCAGGGAGGCTCAGGGACAAGGGTAGTCTGGCAGAGTCATTGCGGTAGAAGAGGGAGATGGTGATGTTCCTGGAGGGAGAGAGGAGAGGGTGACACCTACCACTGACCCTGGCTGAAGGAAGAGCCCAGATCAGGGGAGAGCTGCTGAATGGAGAAATGCTCCTGACTCAAACCTGTCAATCTCATCCAACTGTCCCTTCCAGGCAGGTTCTTTAGCAGTGCCCTCTGCCTGTCCATCACCCCTCCAGCCCATTCCCCTGTCCAATGTCCAGTTCCTCACCCTCCATCTTCTGGGTCCCTGAGACGTTTCCGGAACTCAAAACCAAGGCAGGCAGCATAGGGTGGGGTGTGCCCGTCATAGAGGCCTAGAGCCCCTAGGAGGGCCAGCAAGGTGCTGTCGTGCTGCAGGGAGATCCAAGTTCTGAGACAGGGTTTCCCCCTGGATGGCTCTTTCCCAAACTCTAGTCTTGGGCATCTAGCTGCCTCCCAGATATTCCCCAGCCACTTAGAACCAGTCCACCAAGCCTGCTCCTGCCTCCTCACTGGGGGGAACAGGTAGCCACTAAATATGATCAAGTAATGGCAATATATGGTTGGACACTGGTGAAAGAGCCTGTCCTTCCACAGTGTACCTCTAGTCTGAGAGTTAAGATTCGGGGATGGTGGTATCCAAGGCAGTGGGCTGAGATTGCATTAGGACCACCAGCTTTTCCTCACCCAAACTGATGTGACCTTCATCCCTGTGCCCATGAGGCACTGCCTTCCCTTCCCAAGAACTCACAGCTGAGTACATGACCATCTTGAGGGGCAGTCCCAGGCGCTGAACCCGGGAGAAGTTGGAAAGAATGGCATCCAGCAAAATCCCTGAAGGGGCAGGAACAGTGCTTAGAACCCACCCCGAGAGGAAGGAACCTCAACCCCCCACCTTCCCTACCTCCCAGCCCCACACCTCACCCCCTGTCAGCTGGGCCTTCTCTGCTGCCCGGGGTGGGCCCACATGGGCCCCAATATCCAAAGCAGAGATCTGAGCCAGAGTTCTCAAGACGTCAGGGGAGGCCCAGGAAGGTAGGGGAAGTCCGTGAGCTCGCTGGAGAGACAGGGAGGGAAGACAGAGGGCACATCCAGAGTTGCCCCTAGTGCTCCTGGGCCCTCTGGTGCCCTACCCCATTAACTGCTGGTTCCTTCCTGCCCTTGTGGGCTGGGGGAGGGGGGAGTCATAGTGTGGGCAATAGTGATTTTTTTTTTTTTTGGTACTGGGAATTGAACCTTGGGGTACTCTGCCTCTGAGCTACATCCTCAGCCCCCCCCCTTTTTTTTTTAATTTCAAGACAGTCTCACTAAATTGCCACGCTGGCCTGAACTGACAACCCTCCTGCCTCAGCCTCCTAAGTCTGAAGTCTGAGGTTACAGGCATGGTCCAGCGCCCAGCAGCAGTTGTCTCATTCTACAGTTCAGCAGCTCTTATCTGACACCTTTCGGCAGAGGCGTTTGGGGATCTAGACATTAAGGAGGGCATGGGCAGTCCTTGTAACCCCACACACGCTTCCCTCTGTGCATGGCACCGCGTCAGGGCCACTCCTGCTGCCCAAGTTTTGGTTTATGGAGCTTTTCTGATTACAGGATAGCAGAGAAAGTATTGCCAAAACAGCCTCCACCTCTGTGTGGCCCAGTGTGCCAGCTGCTCCCATAAGCCTGTTACATGGATTAGTCACTTTAATCTTTGTGGCAACCACAGAGGAGATGGGCAGCCATTCCTGGTATGCAGATGGGGAAACCCAGTAGCATGGGGCAAAGTTACGATTTGAACCACTTGGTCCAGAGGGACAGGGCAGGGGGCTTACCTGGCATATGAGTGTGTCCAGAACCTTCCATGCCCTGTGCAGTGGCTCCCCAACCAGCGTCAGCCCCGTGAAGTTGCTCAGGCGAGTCAGAAAGTCCTGGGTGCACAGGCTGGGTGAGTCTAGAACCTGGCACCCTGCCCCGCCAGCCCATCACCCTGCTCACCGTCCAGCCCTCCAGGGCCTCCTGGTACTCGGCGGCCTCTGTGGACTCCCGCAGCAGCTCATGGTATCGAGGACAGCTGCGCATGGGGAATCTCAGCAACTGAAGGAAACTGAGGCTCAGGACAGCAGTGGGCCCGGGGTCTCAGGCCCTGTCTCCCTCTCAGTCTCTCCCCAATCCAGATGAGTCTCATGGGAGGGGTGACTTGCCCATGGACAGCTCAGCCCAGAGACAGGTTTACTGCTTTGAGCCATATGAGGCTTCTGGAAGCTGACCAACCCTCAGGCCTTGAGCCACCTCCATCCCTCTCCAGCTCAATTTCTTTATTCTCTCCCACCCCCATTCAGCCCCAGACCTTGTCCTCAGCAACAGGCACCGTGTGCACAGGAATTGGCCTCCAGTCCGCCTCAGGGCTCCCCGGGGCTGCCTCGGGGAACAGCCCAGCCAGGTTGGCCTGAGCGCTCTCCAGGGTCCGGTCGAAGTCTGTGCTCCGGATGTACACCTGGGGGGGGTGTGCAACAGGAAGGGGCACAGGGTCAGATGTGGTGGCAAATCAATGGCTTTAGATTCAGTTTGGTGTTGCTTGAAGGTCATGAAAACATTAAAGATTAGGCATTTAAGGTGGGTTCAAATGTCTGGCCTTTAAATGTGTCAGAGGTCAATGTTAGGAGCCCTCAGGTTGGAGGGCAGGTGTTGGGTAGACGAGGGTTGAAGGAGTCAGCTGGGTAGATGACGGTCAAGATCATCAGAGTCAGGGGAATGGAGGCAAGAGGTCAAACTGAGGATGGGGGGCAGGGACATTGCCATAGTTAGGTATATTGTCCTCAGAGGGATCAGGGTCAGAAGTCAGGAGGCCTGATCCTAAATATCAGAAAAGGAAGGTTAGAATGGATGAAGGACTGAAGGCTAGAGATCAAATGCTGGAGGTCAGGAGGACAAGTTGAAAAGAATTGAGTTTAGGAGTCAGAGGTCTAGTTGGAGTCAGTGGGAGTGAAGACAAAGGTGGAGGTCAGAAAGTAAGGTCAGAGGTCAGGGGGTCAGAATGAGGTGAGATTAGAAGTCAATGTGGGTTTATTGGTGACTCTGAGGTCCATAGAATGCAGGGCAAATTGATGGAGGGCAAAGGCCAGAGGTGGCACCCAAAGGGAGCACTGGAGTCAAACGTGGGAGGTCAGGGAGCCAGGTACAGGTAAACGTGCCAGTACCTCCTCCCGCCGGTACTGGGGACTCAGAAAGGACTTGTAGCGCCTCCGCAGGAAGTGGCCCAGCTCCAGCTGCTGGCGGACTCCCTCCTGGGGACAGAGCAAGGCCTCAGCACACCCTCCTCACCCAGCCACGCACCTCGCCCCCACACTTCTCACCCTGGTCAGCTGGCCCAGGCCTCGAGGCCACAGGGCAGAAACGGCTTCCTTGTGTGGGTCTGTGGGATAGGAGGCCAGCGGAGCCCGGTCGCCATGGCGGAACACCTGGGGACAAATAGGGTCAGGGCTGGCCTGGGACAGAGGAGGGGCCAGGTGGGTGGGGGCAGCTCACCAGAGCCACGAACGCCAGGGGTCCTTCTGGCAGGGCCTGGTGCAGCAGCAGCAGCAGCAGGAGGGGCAGTCCAGCAGCATGGCCCTGCAACCCCAGTCCGGCCATCTCCACGCAGCCCAGACGCTGAGCTCAGCCGCCGCCGACTGCGCCGGGGCCTCGCCTGCTCATTACCCTGTGCCGCAGCCCCTGGAGCAGGCCCCGGCGCAGGCCCCGGCACGCCCCCGCAGCAGCTCCCGGTGCCTCGCCGGCCCACGCTGGATTAACCCGTGTACTCTCCACCGTTACCACCACCCATCACACAGATAGGAAACCAAGGCATGGGCAGAGTCATTGCCTGAGGGAGTCGCCCTCTCCTCTCCTCTCCTCCCTCTCCTTCCCCTACTCTGAATCTGTTCTTCCCTTCCTTGCTCCTAAATGTTGGGACTCAAGAAGCCTTCCTGGGCTTCTTGGAGATTAACTTCTTCCACCTGCAGCTGATCAAAACCAACAGGGCCCAGTAGTTGGACCCACAGGTCCAATAATTGGACAGATTGGGTTCAAATCCTGGCTTCACCATTTATATATAAACTGTGTGAGTTTGGGCAAGTCATCCCACCTCTCTCTGTGCCGTAATTTCACAAATTGGATCAGATGAGTTCAAATATATTCAGCACTTAGAGAAAGGGGTTTTCAAAGAGTATCTCCTAGGCAGTTTGTTGGTTGGTTTGAGTTACTGCGGGTTGATTCCGGGGTGGTTAGGCAAGCACTCAACGACTGAGCTACACCCTCAGCCCTTTTTATTTTATTTTGAGGCAGGGTCTGGGTAGTGGCCAATGCTGGCCTTGAACTTTCCATCCTTCTGCCTCCGCCTCCCCATAGCTGGGAGACAGGCATGTCCATGCCTAGCTGTCTCCTCTTCCTATGACAAGAGTGCTTTCTTCTTATGTGATCCCCACTCTCTATCCAAATGTCCCCCAATTTCTCTCCAAATCCTTACAGTTGTTTTGTCCAGTCCAGAGCCCTGTCTGGGATCATCCTAACCTAGTCATAGGTCTTGTTAAATTTTTTAAAATATAGAAAATCTGTGAAAAAAGATCCATCACTTCATTAATAAAATATGTATAAATAAAGTAAATAATAATAAAATAAATATTTCCTCTAATATATACACAAATGCTCCTCAATTTACAGTGAGCACCCATCCCAACATCGTAAGTCAGAAATGCCTTCAACACCCCTGACTCACTGAGTCCCACAGCCTGGCAGCCCCTCACAGGGTGGTGGCTGCCCAGGGTGGTGGGAGAGGATCTCCCCACCCCCTCCTGGCCCAGGAAAAGAGCAAAACTCGGGAGTTCAAGTACAGTTTTTACCCAGTGCACACGGCTTCGGCATCATCGTAAAGTTGAAAACTCACAAGTCAAACCAGGAACTGTCTGTCTATACTTTTTTTTTTTTTGTACCAGGGACTGAACTCAGGGTCATTCAACCACTGAGCCACATGCCCAGTCCTATTTTGTATTTTATTTAGAGACAGGGTCTCACTGAGTTGCTTAGCACCTGACTAAATTGCTGAGGCTGGCTTTGAACTCACAATCCTCCTACCTCAGCCTCCCAAACTGCTGGGATTACAGGCGTGCGCCACTGTGCCCAGCATTGTCTATACATTTTCCAGAAGCAAATCATTGTATTTACTGATGCCACACTCCCAGGTACCCAGCACAACTACTGCAGATAATGAGAGCAATCCTGCCATAAATAATGAGGAAGACGCCCTGAATAACGAGACCACGTAGTCTGGCTTTTGTGGTAGATGTAGATAGGTACAGACACACACTGCATGCATATTAGAATCCTCAGTCCTCCAAACAACCTGGTAGAGCCTATTTTTTATATATTAAAAGCACACAAAAAGACTGTCTTAAGTGACACCCCCCCTCCCGGCACTGCCCCACGAAGGAGCCAGAGTGCACACTTCCACTCAGCCGTCGCTTCCTGCCCGCTGTCCCTGTCAGGGGCATCACTGCTGGGAGTGGGGATCAGAGGGGCCTGGTTTCTGCCCACCTGCACCATGTCCCTGGCCTCTGAGACCCAATAAACATACAGCATTAGCAGACCCTGCTCCTGCTCCCCCACAGCAGGGCCAGCCTGCCTGCTAGTGGAAATCCCCCACCCCCACTTGGACAGCACATCGTGCACCTCAAACTGGTGTCCTTTTCTAGACACTCGGATAAGCAGCCCAAGGCACCTGAGCGGAGGTCAGTGTGGGCACAGGGGCATCTCAGGAGGGAGTGCACAGCCTGCAGCCTCCACAGGAGGGTCCACGGCTTGTTCGTTGCTCCCTGTTTCTGGCAGCGTGGGCGAAGGGACAGAAATCGTGGCGGGGCCTACAGCGTGAGTGGGAGGCTGGCCCAGTGGCTCAGGCTGTCACAGCCAAGGTACATCATTGTTCCTAAGGTTCAGAGGCAGGAAGCTGCTGCCACTGTCACTGCCACAGTCCACCTGACAACTTCTAATCCCACCCCAAACTGGTGACCAACCCAACCACCATTGCATTGCTGTCCCTTGTGTGTGGTGGACGCTGGAGGAGTGAGTTTCACCTGGGCCACCTTACCTGTTCTCCCACGCGTGTGCGTTCTGGGCTCTCGGATCTTATTCATCTCAATGCCAAATTCAGAGACTCCCCTGACAGCTCACACCTGTGTCCCACTCTCCCACAATCCCCTGTAGAAATGTCCCCTCTACTCAGAATGCACTTCCCTGGTCACCATGGCCACCATTCTGGTCTCCCCGACGACCCCCTCTTGGTTCCAGAGGTTTCTCCCCTCTTTGGCTCAGAGGCCAGGGAAAGGGAGAGAGGTGCAGCTAACTGCGGCCAAGGTCCCATGACCATGAACTTTCAGGAAGTGAGGACGCATGGGGGAGGAAGGTCAGGGGTGGGGCCAGGGCAGTGAGGGGAAAGGTCCTGACCTCTGACCTCCTTCCCTAGAATGTGACCCTGGCTATGGCTGTGTTCACCATCCTCACCTCCATCTACTTCTTCAACAAGGTGAGCAGAAAGAGGATGCAGGTGGGGGCCCAGGCTGTCTCTGCTCCCGTTTGATCATCTCGGTCTCTTTCTCTCCATGTCTCTGTCTCTGCATCTCTTCCTCCCTCAGGCTCAACAGTGAGAAGACACAGGCTCCCCAGTCCAGGGGCCTGGTTTCTGCCCACCTGCACCATGTCCCTGGCCTCTGAGACCCAATAAACATACAGCATTAGCAGACCCTGCTCCTGCTCCCCCACAGCGGGGCCAGCCTGCCTGCTAGTGGAAATCCAGCCCTCTGGGTCTGAGGGAGGAGGCTGGGCCTGGACCCCTGAGTCTGAGGGAGGAGGCTGGGCCTGGACCCTGGTCTGAGGGAGGAGGCTGGGCCTGGACCCCTGGGTCTGAGGGAGGAGGCTGGGCCTGGACCCCTGGGTCTGAGGGAGGAGGCTGGGCCTGGACCCCTGGGTCTGAGGGAGGAGGCTGGGCCTGGACCCCTGGGTCTGAGGGAGGAGGCTGGGCCTGGACCCCTGGGTCTGAGGGAGTAGGCTGGTCCTGGGCTTCCCCGGGTAGGATGGAGGAGGGCTGGGTCTGGACCCCCCAAGTCTGAGGGAGGAGGGCTGGGCCTGGACCCTGGTCTGAGGGAGGAGGCTGGGCCTGGACCCCTGGGTCTGATGGAGGGGCACTGGGCCTGGACCCCAGGTCTGAGGGAGCGGGGAATGAAACCCCAGGTTCTCAGATGCCTAATTTTTGAGCTGGGTTGGGGAATGAGTTGCAGGCCCGGGTGCACTCGGAGAGGGGGAAGGACATTCCCACTCTAGGCCCAAAGGCACAGAGGGGAGAAAACATGGCAAGTTTACTACCCAGCACTAAAACAGCCTGCATTGTACCTCAGACTCTTCAAACCTCATCTTCCCCTTTCTGTCAGACAAAGATAGAAATCTTAGTCTGATGGGTCCTGGAAGGTCACAGCAAGGATGAACTGACATCAAAGTTGTAAATGGACGTTCTGAACAACAAAGGGTCTGTAATTAACTACCATATTATTCACCATTATTTTATGTGTGAACACACCCTCTGTTTTCTTAACAAACTCCTATTCAACCTTGGACACCCCTATCCATGCCCCTTTTTATAAAAGTGTCCAAAACCCCAGGTAGGCAACCTGTTAGCAGCCACCTGGATTGCTGTCCACTCCATGCCTCCAACCTCAGTGAGTGCTTTGGGAGCCACCAGCCTTTGCTTGAAGTTTATTTACATCTCATCTAGTTAGAAACAATTTCAATTCAGTATCTGAAAAGTTAACTTCTGAATAGCGATTGTAAATCACTTCCCAGGGAAAGGACTAGGAAATCCCAATTACGAGCATATTCACAGTCATGGTATGATTTTAGCTCAGATCAATGTTTTATTGGATTACAAATACTTTAGACCAATTATTTCAGAATAATTGGGAATAGAGCCCTCTGTAATTCTCCAAAGCATCCTAATTTGATGAGTCCTTGGTTGCAAAACGACGAAGAACCAGAAGGTGGCGGTGTTGGACTATTTTCTCCCGCAGAATTTAGCTCCAGGGTCGCGCTCCGCAAAGGAACTTTGATTTCCGCAAAACCACAATTCTCTGACCTGGGAGGTCCTTGCCGTTCCTCTCGGTTTGGGCTTGGGCTCTCTCTCCCCGGACCTGCCCCAGCCTCCCGTCTCCTCCAGTCCTCCGTGGGGCCGTCCTCAGCGCTGACCTTGCCCTCCCTGCTCACAGCCCCCTTGGGGTTCCTCCTCCTCCAGCCCCTGGCCTGGCACTGAGGCTGGGGCTACCGGGCTCGCTCTGGTTTCTTTTTAAAACTCCCACCCGTCCCCGGTGGCCCCTCCGCTCTACATAGAACTCACATATGCTCACACAGAACTCAAAGATGGTTTAAAATGCCACACGCCCATGCCTTTGCCCTGGCTGTCCCCCCTGCCTGCTGTACCCTTCCCACTTCAATTTAGTGTCCCCGCCTCCAAAGGCTTCCCCCAGGGCTCCCCACGCAGAGGGAAGGGAGCCCGTCCTGCGCACGCGCCCTCCCCGCCCCACTCTCCTCCGCGCGCTCGCAGGGCGGGCTGTGGTTTCAAACTCACGCCAACGGAGCCTCTTCTCCCTCTTCCCACTCCTCACCCCCACTTCAGGGTTCGACCACTTAAGATTTCTCAGTGTTCTGGGAGCTGTCAAGGCTGCATTTGGGCAACCACAGACACGTGGAGATTGATGGCCCTGCGCATCCCCGGGGAGCTTCTGAAATTCCCCGAGCCCAGCTTCACCTTGGACCGCTTAAACCACCACGCCTGGGGGTGGGCCCGGCATCGGTTTTATTTTAAAAGCTTCCCTTGGAGATACCAAGGTGCAGCCAGGGTCAAGAGGCATACCCGGATGCATTAAAAAAAAAAAGAAAAAAAAAACACAGCCGTTCTCCCTTGGAGTTGAGCACACGTCAAAGTTGTGTGGCTGCATGGAAGACTCGGAATGTGGCGCAAAAATTAACTGAGTTTGGAAACATTTGGAAATTTGAAAACAAAGGTAGTTTCCCGGGGCCGGCAGAGAAAGCTTGCTAAGAGTGGACTTGAAGATTTGCGAGACAATGGGGTCCACAACCCACAGGCGCAGTGTGGTCTTATTCTGTTCCACCTGGAATAACCAGGGTGGGTGTCACCCTCCATCACCTGCCCAGTTCCAGGTGGCGCCTGTGTTTCTTTTCATCCAGACTCAGGCCTCTTCCTGTCTCAGAGCCGTCTCTCAGTCTCTGTCTCCCTGTCATCTGTCTGTCTGCCCCTCTCTCTTCCCACACTTCTCATTGGATACCAGCCCTATCTCTGCCTCCACCCAGCAGCCTGACCCGTCTGTCACCTCCTCCCTGCCCCAGCTCCCATCTGCTACCTGTGCCTGTGTGATTCCTCCCCAGGTGCCTGTTCCTCCCCCTGGCCTACCTTATCCACCTGCTGCTGCTCTCCCTGGGTCTCTGTGTCCCTCCCTTTCTGGCCCCTCTCTCTCTGGGTCTCTGTCCCTCTCTGTCTCTGTCCCTCTCCTCCCCTTCTGCTCACCACGTGGGACAGCCTCTCAGCTCAGCCCCGCCTTCTTCCCTGGAGGTGGAGGAGATGGGAATCTGCCCTCTCCCCTACTCACCAGCTGTCCCTAATGCCCCAGGAATTGCCTCTCAGGTCGCTGCAGGAGGGCTCAGCCCACCAGTCTCCTCCCCAGATGCTCCCCTGGGGCAGGACCAGAGGGACTGACACAGCTGTCGCCCGAGGGCCTGGGCCACACACACATAGAGCAAGGGGTTGAGGCAGCCACTGGCCACCACCAGGGTGAACCCCAAGGGTCTGAGAAGCACCCAGACGTCCCCCAGGTCCAGTCCAGCCTCCTGCATCCCCAGGAGCCTCAGGAGAAGCAGCAGGTGGAAGGGGAACCAACAGAGAAACAGCATGGCCCTGGTGGCCCAGGGCATGCCCAGCAGTGGGGGCCGCCCCGTGAGCCTCGCCAACCACAGCCTGGCCCGCAGGAGGCTGTGGAAGGTGCTCAGCACCCCCAGGGGCACCCCAAGCCCAAACACCAGCTGGTCCAGCACGTGGCCCCAGGATCTGGAGCCCTGGCCTTGGCTGGGGAGCTGCCCTGCAGGTGTCCTGTTGTAGGGGTCAGCGGGGCTTGCCTGGTCCCTCAGGGCTCGCAGGGCTGACCCACCGAGGCCCAGCAGGAGGAGCCAGAACCCAGCGGCCCAGAAAACCACCTGGCGAGCCGTGTGGTGAGCCAGCGCCCAGGCGGGCTGCAGCAGGACAGCCTGGCAGTCAGCAGCCGCGCGGGTCAGCAGGCGGCCACTGGCGTAGAAGGTCAGGAAGGCCAGGCTGGGGTCCAGACGGCAGAAGGCAGCACCCAGGGGCCAGCAGGAGCGTGTCCAGGTGAGGGTCAGCGGCAGAAGGACTGTGAAGATGGCATCGGTGGTGGCCTGGTGGCCAAACCAGGCAGCCGACAAAGGGGAAGGCAGGAGGGGGCCCGCAGCCTTGATCAGCAGGCCGTGGCTGGTCACCTCCAGCAAGTAGGAGGTGAGTGCCACCAGGGAGTAGAGGAGGATGAGGGAGGCCCAGGGCAGGCACAGCGCCTCATGGGGAGCCAACCGCGGAGTCTCTGCAGGGTCCTCCATGGGCTGGATGATGCTGTGGGGACCCACAGGCCACCACATTAGTGTGACCTGCCGCCGTCCCCAGAACCGCCCAGGTCCTGCAGTCAGCCCCACTGTCCACCCAGAGGCCCGGGCATCATCCTCTCCTGTTCATCTCCCATCCTGGCTCTGCCCACGGCGCCCACCCCGTTCAGAACTCATTTTCCTCCCCAGCCTCCCTGTCTCCAGCCTCCTGCTCCAGCCCATCTTGGAATACTCCAGAGCTGACCTGTCCCTCCCCTGATGGCAGCCCTTCCGGTGCTCCCCAGCACCCCTGGACAAGGTCCCAGCCCCTCAGCCCAGGGTGGAAATCCTGGGAGGCTGTCCCTGTTCCCCACTGCCTCCTCTTCTGGCCTCCCCCCGCATCAGGCCTACAGGCTTCCGGAGCCAGCTCCTGCCCTTCAACCCTTCTGTCCTCTGACCTCCTGGACTCTGCATCTCCAAATCTCAGAGCCCTACCTGCCAGGTGGCTTCTCTGAGCAGCCCCTCCTCCAGGTGGAGAAACCAAAGCCCAGAAAGAGGGACTCAAAATCCCACTGCAAAGCCAACACCGTGGGACCCTGAGGCCTGGGTGTCGCCTTGGGGGATCTGTCTGCAAGGCCAGCTCTGTCTGCAGGCCTCACTGTATCCCCTCTGTTCCGTGGTGTCCTCCTCTGGCAGGTGGAGGGTAGGTGTCTTCCGGGTGTCTGAGCAGGAGCTAGTAACGTGGTCTCCCCAGAGGATTGGAAGTGGAACCTGTGGGCAGCTCACAGCGGAGGGAAGAGGAAGTGGGAGCCGGGGCCTGGCTGGGAATCAGAGAGGCCACTGAGTGGGGCTGAGCCTGGGCCTCGGTTTCCCCTCTGTGTATCCCCAGGGTGGTTTTGGCCCCTCCCCCGGCCTGCAGCCCTGCCCACCGTCTGCCTCCCAGCTCCCCACTTCCCTCTGCTCTGCAGTTCCTAGAATAAGCCACACCCCTCACACACACAGGCACAAACAGCACTGTCCCTGCTGTTACTCATCCCTTTGCTGAAGAAGCAAACTCCTATGCATCCTTCAAAACCCAATTGGGTGCCACTTTCCCTGGAAACCCTTCTCTGGCCACCACTCACCCCATCAGACTGGGTCAGGTACCACTGTCCTTGTATGCATCATGTCTCAGAGTGGGTTGGTGCTATGCCAAGGGCAAGGACTAAGTGTCCACTGAGAACAGACAGTGTGCGATGTCCTTTACATCATTTTAATTTCTTCCAAGATCCCCGTGAGGACATTACTATTGCTGCCTGCATCTTACCAGGGGGAGACTGAGGCACAGAGCGAGCACAGGAACTGAGCCGGCCAGGAAGTCAAAGGATTGAGGAAGGGATCTAGGGCCACCGACTGTGGCTGCATCATGTCATCCTGATGAAACCCGATAACTCCTTGAGCCACCAAACCCCACGAGGCCACAGGGCATGTTGGGAAAGGATGAGTAAAGGAACAGTCCTGTGTCCACCCTGCAGACTCCCACTCACCTAACAATGCCCCATTCACATGTCCCCCTCCAGGAAGAAGCAGAGTCCTGCCTGGAACCTCCTTCCCTCCCTCTCACTCCCTTGACCCCCCTCCACTGGAACCGTCTCAGTGTGTTTCCTGAACAACCCAGGAGCCCCCGAAGGCTGAGTCACATCCCCAGAATCATCCTGTCAGGGGTCTGAATGGCAGGCGGCTTGGGCACAAATTTACATGGACAGCTGATGGTCTGGAGATGGCCTGGAGGAGGGGGGGCTAAAACCAGGGGGGAAACAGCAAAACCTCGGGCCAGTTCTCCAGGGAAGAGCTTCGGGCTGCAGGCCCAGAGCACCGACCTCCCACCTGCTGACCCTCGCTCTGGCCTCTGGTGCGACCCCAGCCCCATGCACACTCCTTGGCTGGAGAACCAGGGGTCCGTCAATGTGTGATGAATGATGACCATACTGGATCCACCCCACTGTCCTTATTTGCACCGGGCACCTCCAGGCCTGGACCCTGCAGTGCCAGCTGCCTGCGGCACCCTTCCTCCCGCAGCCTCCTGGATGCCTCCGGTGGGGTCTTCAGGTCTGCTCAGCATGTCCTGGTCCCCAAAAAGTCCCCAGGCCATGGGAGGGGGCAGTAGCCTCTCTCCCTTGCTCTCCCCTAATCCCTCTTCCTATTGCTCATGACCAGCTATTGTCTTTAACTTGGGCCTCCTGCCAATCATTTGTGTCCCCCACCCCATGCTCTCACTTTGAAACACCATCAGAGCAGGGACAGCAGGGGTTCCTTCCACTCTGTACCTGAGAGCGCTTGATGCTTCATAAAGACTGTTGAATGAGGTGAGCCGGGATCCCTGTGCCCACTGAGGTGGCAGATGGATGGCCCCCAGGAGGTCCCTGTTCTAACCCCTGGGACCCGGGGAATGTGTACCATGACTCAGCCAAGGGAAGCCAAGGCCACAGTGGCACTAAGGCTGCTGCTCTCGTCCTCTGACAACAGGGAGACCGTCTCACGTGGTCCAGGTGGGCCTGATGTGGCCACAGAGGTCCTTGTGGGGAAGAGGAAGGTGAAAGAGTGGGAGCCAGGGACAGATGTAAAGAGGCCGTGGGGAACGTGGGCCCCTCGCCAGGCTGGGAAAGGCAGCTGACTCTCCTCAAGAGCCCAGAGAACTTTTTAGGACCTGTAAAATAATTTGTGTTGCTTGAAGCCCCCAAATTTGGATACTTTGTTACAGCAGCAAGAAGAAACCAATACACCCATTTTATAGACCAGCAAATGGAGACACTCGGAAGGTCACACAGTCACTTCATTGTTGAGTTTGCCTTTGGAAGGAGAAGGGGGTGGGGAGTTGGGGGCAGACTGCAGAGAAAGGGGGTCTACACCCAAGATGGCTAAAGGGGGGACCTGGAGGGAGTGGCTAGGCAGTGGTGGCAGTGGGTAGGACAGGTACTGGGAAAGAGGAAGGAGCACCAAGAAGAGGGGAAGGAGTGGCTCCGGTGGACCTCAAACTGCCCGAGATGTGGAGGAGGAGGTGAAGCCAGGCAGGAGGAGGAGTGTCCTGGATCTGTACCCACTGCCAGGTTTCCCCCAGCAGGGCCCCCTGCCCTCCCGCAGTGTCTGCCCCATCACCTTCTCCAGCTCAGTGCCCTCCACGCTCAGGCCACCTCCTCTACCCCTGGACCCTGGACGCAGCCTCCTCCTGGCCTCTGTCCACCCCCACCAGGGATCTTTCTACCCGCTGCCCTCCCTGCTTACAGACCTGTCATGGCTCCCAGCACCCCTGGCAAATCCCCCAGTCCCTCAGCCTGGGATCCAGCTCCCCCCTCGAGCCCCACCCCCGGCGCGGAGGTGGCAAGCCCTCTGCTACAGCCTGAGCACCTCTCTGGTGGTTGGTGCCCATCTCCACAGACTCAGTAGGCAAATTCAGTTAGAAGGTGGTCACATCGTCTCCTCATTGTGTTCCACACGAACAAGAGTGGGCACCCGGAGCCCACGGGGCATCTGGCAGTGCTGCGGAAGCGGGTGGACGCCGGACTCCCACGGTCTTGAGTTCGAATCCCGGCCCTGGCAGCGCGTCCTGGGGAGCGGGGGGCACCGTGCACGAATTAGGCTCATACCTCGCAGCTGCTCTGCGAGGAGTAGAAGGCCCGGGGCGCTCAGACCGACGGTGTACGAGCGGGGAGGGCTCCTGCGCGGGGCTGGGGACGTGTCGAGGTGAGGAGTCTCATGACAGCTATTTTCCGACATTTGATGACAGACTGTCTCCTAAGGCTGGGAACATCTCAAACCAGGCCAGATTGGGGGCGACGCCTCCCCTCCCGCGTTGCCTGCGAGAAACAGAGGTAGTGATTAAGATCGCATAATTACCTCCTCCTGCCTGGGAGGCGAACCTCTCTCCTGCCTGGGATCTTGGGGTTAGGACTGCCTTCCCCTAGCTGCGCGCTCCGCCAGCGTAGAGGCTTCACGCTGCAGTCTCCACCCGTGGGAGGGACTTGCACCTACTATGTGCGGGGCCACCACGTGCGAGATCAGGGCTCCCCAGCAGGTGAAGGCTGCAGGCTCCCCAGAATGGAAAGTACCCCCGGCTGGAATGTCGACCCCGCCCCCAAGCTAACATTCAGGCCCCCCCTCTGGGATATGAGCCCTCCCACTTGGACATCAGCCCCTCCTCCTGGAGTGTTAGCTCCGCCCCCTGGACTCCAGCCCCTTCCCCAGGATGTCAGCCTCTCCCCCTGGAATGTCAGTTCTTCAATTCAAGATCTTTGCCTCCTGCGCCATTTACCCTCCGGGTACTCTATGAGCGAAACTGAATGGGTTGATGCAGTCAGCCCCGTCAAGTGCTGTGCGACCTTCCGTGAGTGACTTTACCTCGCTGAGCCTAGAGTTTCCTCAGTTTCCTCGTCTGTATGAAGGACATCAAGGCAGTGCTGTCCCCATGGGTTGAGAGGCTGATGTCGGGGGCTCACAGGTTTATAAATCCCTGGACAGGATCTGGCACTCAGGAGGTCGTGATGGATGGAGGAGCGACTCGCCTCCTGTTGTCACAGCAGTCTGATGCGGTGAGGAGTTTCAGTCCCCACCGGGCGGAGGAGAAACCCGGGCTCCGGGAGGCGGTCCAGGGAAATGCCAGCCCTGGCGGGACCTTGCCCAGGAGCGCTCCCGAGCGCAGCCCCGCCTGGCCACGCCGCCAGCTCCCCCGCCACCAGAGACCACCGCCCCCGCAAGGAGAGTCCCGCAGCGGGCCCTGAAAGCCACCGTCTACTTGAGAGAACGCGTCGCCGCACTCATTAGAAAATCAATGCAAATTAAAAACCTCCCCGGGATCCACTTTCCCTGGAGAAGGCGAGGAGCAGAGAGTCTGACTCGCGGTTGCGTTGGCGAAGCCAGCCGTGGAAACAGCTTTGCGGAGCGGCGCTGTGTGGCGGTGTCTGGCGACACGGAACACGCCCTCTGACCCTGCAGTTCCCCGCCGAGGAGCTCGTTCTAACAGGTGTCACCGCTGATCGTCGCAGACTCGTCGCGCCTCCTCGGTGCCGGCAGCCACCTGGGCGCCTCACCCACACTAACAGGAGAACTCCTCGCTGCGACCCTTTGCCTGAGGCCCCATCAGTGTCCCCATTTTACACGGGTGGAAACCAAGGCGTGGAGGGCGGGAGCGGCTTGCCTGGTGTCCCCAACAATAAATGACCATGTCTTCGTGTGGACTAAGACTTTTTTGGGACTCAAAAAAGTACATAAATGTTAAGGGATATTATTGCTAGGAGTGTGTGTGTGTGTGTGTGTGTGTGTGTGTGTGTGTGAGAGAGAGAGAGAGAGAGAGAGAGAAATTTGAAGATAAATGAAAAAGAATAACAATTTCCCTCCAAGAACCATCTTCTTATCCTTGGCCACACCTTTTCCTTAATTTCCTCATTAACCTCTATTAAGGTTGATGTTTCCTTTCAACTTTTGGTGCATTCATTTTATTGTTCTTTTTCTACTTTCTGGAATGGTTTGCTTTACTAATTTCCTTTTGGACTTTTGTTTTTCCCCTATTAAAATTTAGAGCTACAGATTGTCCTCTAGGCACTGCCTTGGTACTGCCTTGGTCCTCCCTCGGCCAGTTTGGGTGGGCAGTGTTTCTAAATCAGGCAAACTTGAGTTTTGATTATGGTTGAACACAGGAGGTACTGATAAAGGTGTTTTGCAGCTATGTCCAAGGCAATAGGAGTGGGAATTTTGGATCCTTCCTCATATTGGATTTTTAATTTCCAATGTGGCCTGTGTTACTTCTACTATGCGGGATCATTCTAGGCTGTGCTTATGACCTAAATCAACCAGTTTGGGGTGGGGAAAGAATACCATTGTAGAATCTTGATTTTTTTTAATGCTCTAAAGCTCATAATTGGGACAGTTAGGAAATTTGAATATGGACTTTTGTTAGATCATATCATGTTAAAGTTCTTAAGGAGAAGAATGAAGTTATGGTTGTGCAGGGAAAATGCCCTTGTTCTTAGTGGCACAGGCTGAAGAATTTATAAGTGACACCTAATGTCCTATTTGCACCTACTTTCAAAAGTTTCAAAATTTTCTGGAGCTGCCTGTAAACACGGCCCCTTAAGGACAGCACCTTGTCAGGGTTCCCTTCCCTGTGTCTCTGTCTTGGCCTGCTACATGGTGGAGGTGTGATAATGTACACATGCAGGTGTGTGGAAAGGAAGTGGGAAGAGAGAGGGAACATGGGAACATCTGTGGGGTGGAAAATATTAACACCTGGGAACTTTATAGGAACCAGGTAACTGAATGGTAACCAGTATTAGACTGATAATCATACCTTAGAAGTTTTTCAAATGAAATCTTTTGTTTTTTAAAAAAAAATTTTTTCAGTTGTAGTTGGACACAATACCTTTATTTATTTATTTTTATGTGGTGCTGAGGATTGAACCCAGCACCTTGCACATGCTAGGCGAGCACTCTACTGCAACCTCAGCCCATAAAAGACAAGTGTTTACAACAAAGTTTGGAACAGAGGTCACCTTTAGAGTTGGAGGAGTGATTGGGAGGAGGAGGAAGAGGAGGAGGAGGAGGGGGAGGAGGAGGAGGAGGAGGAGGAGGAAGAGAACCCTGGAGTAGTGTTTTATTCTGTGACCTGGCTAAGTCGGGCTCGAATGGTTTTTCACTTGGTGATCAATCAATTAATTCTCCCAGTTCTTTTTTTTTTTTTTTTTTTAATGTTCTCCAGAATGTGTGTTAGATGGAATAATTTTCGAACTTTCAAAGATACATTGCAGCAAGCTCAAAGCAATCTAGACACCCATCAGTAGGGGTTGGGTGAAATACCTTTAGGCACAATATATCTACATAAGAGAACACTTGGCCCCACCACTGAGAAACCATGTGACAGCCTCACAGACATTTATAAGCAGCCGTCTCTTAGACCCACTCTTTGTTTGTTTGTTTGTTTGCAGCCAAGGGATTGGAATCAGGGTTTCCTGCATGTCAGGCAAGCACTCTACCACTGAGCCACATCCCTAGTCCCTAGACTCTTAATAGAACACACATGGTGTGGGATAATGTACTTGGCATGTTCTGTTTGTGTTAAAAATAATTGTGCATGGGTAGGCTATCTGGAAGGATATGCAAGAAGGTGATGTCATCTCCAGGGAGGAAAAGTAGGCATGGAGGATGAGGAGTAGGAGTGAGAGTTTCTTTTTTGCCATGTGCCTACACCGCTTTAAAGTTTTGGTTTGTTTTTAATAAGCCACTTCCTGCAGTTAGTGTTTTTCAAGGTGCCTCCATCCTTCCCGTCACCGGGGTACCGGGTCATTTAGTCCTATCCTCACCCATGAATACGGAAGCATTTGGTCCCATTTTACAGAGTTGGTCAACTAAGGCTCTGAGTGGCAGAGTTTCAGAACACGTCAGAGCTGGGCCAGAGATGCCACTAAGAATTGGGACAAGTAGTGTGATGGTGTCTGGTTTGGATGGTTTTTTGTTTGTTTGTTTTTCCTCTCCCTAGAACTAAGGGAATGGTGCCCCACGACTAGGAACCACTAGCATCTCTATCCCTGGAGAGAAGCATTTATGGCATGTATCAGCAAGGGCCGCTCTGGGTTTCCAATAAGAGCAAGTCTGACTCTAAGTGGCTTTGGCAATACGAAAACTGATTACCTCCCTTCATCCAGTTCCAGAGGTTGGTGGCCCAACAGGTACAGGTCCATTCAGCTGCTGCAGCACAGACACCAGGTGACAGTGGCTCCAGGGAACTGGAATTTGAGCTCTCTCTTCATAGCCCGGGTGTGAACATCCCAGGGCTGGCATGGGCTCTCCTTGGGGACACATAGCTTCCCATGTGGCTTGCCACAGTGGTTGCTGTGCAGATTGTAAAAAAAAAAAATGGCCCCAGTTCTGCATGCCGCTCAGAATCCATGGCCTTTTGCAATGTCGCTTTGCGGATTTTCCGATTGAGAGGTGGAACCTCTCACCTGGTCTAGGCTGGCGTGTGACTTGTTTTGACCAGTAGGAATGATGGTCACCTGTGCAAAGTTCCAAGCTTTATCTCCTGCTTTTCTCACTCTTAAAACCCTCCTCGTGGGCTGGGGATGTGGCTCAGTGGTAGAGCACTTGCCTAGCAGCACAGGACCCTGGGTCTAATCCCCAGTACCCCCTAAAAATCAAACAAAACAAAACCTCTCCATATAAATGCCACATTAAAAAAAAAGTCACTCTGCAGGACAATAGGAACTATATGGCTTGGCCAATCCCATTATCCCAGTTGACCAGCCACCCCTCCCAGAATCATTTAGCAGGTCCACAGGTGCATGAGGGGGTCCAACTAAGACAAGAAAACTGCTCAACTGAGCCCAGTCTAAATTTCTTAACCACAGAAATCATAAAAGCTTCTCGATTTGGGGAGTGTTTGTTCCACAGTAAAAGCTAACTGATCCATTCACTGTCTAGTCACATGGAGAAAGGAAGGGGCAAGCCCCATTCATTTAAAGGCACTTCAAGGAAGTCACACTGATGATATCCACTCCATCCTACTGGCCAGAAAGGAGTCCCATGGATGCCTCTACTTGCTACAGTTACTGGAAAATGTAGTCTTTTCTTTCTTTCTTTTTTTTATTTGTCTGTCTGTATTTCCTCCTTCTTTCTTTCTTTCTTTTCAACCACATGTCCAGCTTAAAGCAGATAAAACTGTTGTAAAGAAAGGGAATGAGGGCTGAGGTCGTAGCTCAGTGGTAGAGTGCTTGTCCTGCATGTGTGAGGCCCTGGGTTCGATCCCCAGCACCACACAAAAATAAACAAATAAAGATAAAGATCTTGTGTCCATCTACATCTAAAAAAATAAAATAAAAATTAAAGGAATGGTGGGGAATACCTAGCTGTCCCTTAGGTGAGGGACTGCTGGGGAGACTTCCTAAAGAAGAGGCAGATCCTTGGAAGCCGGCCAAGTTAGGGTTTGCAAGCTATGGAGGGAGATTTCCAGCTGCTACTCGGAGGTTCCCATTGTCCTCTGGAGACTTCATCTCTGGGACAGGATGACTGATGAATCCCTCATCGCCAAACGCTCTGGCCAGGGCAGAAGGCAAAGACTGAAAAAATTTTTCTTGGAAATCTCTGCCAATAAAGACATAAAGAAAGGGGTTGAGGCAGCTGTTGAGGCAGCCCAGGGAGAAGGCAGCCCACGGGACGAGCATCATCTTAGGCCAGTGGGATTGCTTTTGCATCATCAGTAGCCCTGACTGGACCAGGAGCGCCATGTTGAATGGGAACCAGAAGAGGAAGAAGGCATTCACTAGCACCAGCAGCATTCTCTTCGGCCTGCTGCTATGGACCCAGCCTACCTGCCGGAGCTTGGCCTGGATGAGGTGGGCACAGGTGCCAATGATCACCAAGGGCACCAAGAAGCCCGGCAGGAAGTGAGTGATGGCCACGGCCATCTGTCCCTTCCAAGACATTGGCTCCCCATCCCGGGTGACCTCGTTCTGTAAGTTGAACTTGAAGTAGCAGTAGTCACATCCATTCACTTTTCCAGTGGCCCGGAATTTCAGGTAGGGAGAGCACGCCGTGGCAGCCAGGAGCCACACACTGAGGGCCAGCCAACTGGCCCGTCGTGCGGTGCGGTGGTTTCGGGCCCAGACAGGGTAGAGAACAGAGAGGCATCGGTCCACAGAGATAAGGACCAGGAAGTAGATGCTGGCGAAGAGGTTCAGGGCCAGAAAGGCCATGTAGAGCTTGCAGACCAGATTGTCCAGGGGCCACTGGCCGAAGGCAACATTGTGGATGGCGATGGGCAGGAACAGCAAGCCCGAGAAATCAGCAAGGGCCAGGTTGAAGAACCAGATGGTGGTGACGGTCCGGGCCATTCGGAAGACGGTCATCCACAGCACCAGCCCGTTGCCCAGAACACCTATGGCGAAGGACACGGACAGCACTGCTATGGTCAGCTGGCGGAGGTACCCCATCTGCTCAGGCTGGCACTCGGAAGCACTCATCTTTCTAGAAGAGGATCATCGCATGTCAGAGCCAGAGGCTGCTTTTCACTAGAGCCCACAGTCCCCTGGAAGACCCCAGTTGTCCATTCCTCCATTCAGTAACTTTTTATTGGCTAGGAGTGGGGGCACACGCCTGTAATCCCAGTGGCTCAGAAGGCTGAGGCAGGAGGATCACGAGTTCAAAGCCCACCTCAGCAAGGCCCTAAGCAACTCAGGGAGACCCTGTCTCTAAATAAAGCACAAAAAAAGGGCTGGGATGTGGTTCAGGGGTTGAGTGCCTCTGGGTTCAATGCCTGGTGCCAAAATAATAATAATTTTTTTATCGAGTGCTGTTTATATCACAATGATATTCTTCTAGGTACGGGAGATGAGTAATGTAGCAAGGCAAGCCTTCACAAAACTTGTAGCCTAGGAAAGTATGTCAGACGTAACACCTAAAATAAGTAAATCCGTGATGAACCACTTTAGAAGATGACATGTTATGGGGGAAAGTCAAAAGGAGCGGTTCTGATTTTTGGTAATATTAGCGCAGCTTTTTCAAAGAGTCCTAGAGTCAAAAAAATTACAAACACTAGACAACAATATCAAAGATCAATCTACTGATCGAAAACACTGGAGAGTAATCAAAATTAGGCATAAACTAGAGGAGAATCTCCCCAGTGGAGGTTTTTAGTTTGCATCTTTTGTGTGTGCTCACTCTGCTGACCCTACAGCTCCCAGATGCAGTGGTGCACGCCTGTAATCCCAGCAGTCTGGGAGGATGAGACAGGAGGATCCCGAGTTCAAAGCCAGCCTCAGCACAAGTGAGGTGCTGAGCAACTCAGTGAGACCCTGTCTCTAAATAAAATAGGGCTGGGGGTGTGGCTCAATGGTTTAGTATCCTTGAATTCAATCCCCAGTACCAGAAAAGAAGAAAAATTCTACCTGCCCAGCTGATTTGTGTTATGCGAAGACAGAGATAAGAGCAAGGAAATTGGCCATAAAGATAGTAGGAGGAAGAGAACTGGGGAAGGAAGCCACCCATTAGGTAAACACCAAAATCTGCATTCAAAGCCCATCCAAACCTTTTCCTGACTAAATTATGCATGTCTGGGGGAGACACCAAGATGCCTGGTGGAAAAGGAACAGTTGAAATTAGAAATTCCAGAGCACAGATTTCAACCATCGACCACAGAGGTGACCCAGACTTTGGGGTTTCAGTCCAGCCAACTTAATTGTCTGCCAAAACAAAAGTCACTTTTCAAAGGAACATAACACAATGCAGATTCTCAATGTCACTCATGATCTCCAGTCTGTGTGTGAAAACCTCTAGACATGTGAAGTAACAGAGATGTACAGGCCACGCTCAAGAAAAAAGCAGCAATACAAAAACCCTGGGGTGACATGGATAGTGTAACACACAAGGATGTTAAATCACCTGATACAAATGTGTTCGAAGACTTCAAGGAAAAGGTATTCGTAATAAACAAACTGGAGGCCCACCGCCTGCTTAGAGGTCACTCTGGACGTCTTGACCAGAAAAACTGCTGACCTTCGGAATCAGAATATCCTGAAATTAGGATGTTCTCTCCAAGGCTGACTGAGAGACAAGGAAGCACAGATCGCTCCCCTCAGCTGTTTGCAAAATGCTGTGCTCATTCCCTTTTAATTCTATCTAGAGTTCCAGCTTGCTGGCACAGAGAACTGCTTGCTAAAATAATAAAATCGAGCAGCTCAGCACTCACGGCAGCTTTTAATCACATCTCTGGTTCTATGCTCCTGAGAACATGCCTGCTTGTTCATTTATCTCTAGTTCTGGGTTCCTTAGAACACCGTACCATTGTTCATTCCTCCTATTAAAAAAATAAAATGCTGCTCAGCCTGGGACTTTCCTTCATCCTGAGTGAAGTCACCTGATCCCCGGCTTTAAAACAACTTTGTCTCTGTGTCATTGTTCACTCGATGTGTCCAGGGTTCAGCTGGTCTGGCCTGGCAAATAAATAGTGTGGGTATTCTAGTAGAAAAGAGGAACTATAAAAAGAGAAGTAACCAACAATTCTAGATATGAACAGTTGAGATTTCATCAAATGGAAATATGGGCTTCAGAGGTGGGAAATGACCTCGGTGAACTTGAAGATAGATCAGTAGAAATGTCCCAACCGGAAAGATGAAGGAAAAAAAAAATTAAAGAAAAATGACTAGGCCACCCGGGACGCTGTGGAACAATACAAGTCAGTCCACCCTAGAAGTAGTGGGATTTCAGGGCAGAAAAAGCAAATGAGACAGAGAAGTCTTTGCAAAATAAATAAATAAATGAATAAATAAATAAATGACCCTAAATATACCAAAGTTAGCAAAAGACATTGTCTTACAGATCCAAGAATTTCAACGAAGTCCAAGCAGAATAAATACAAGAAAATCACTCCCAAGGCACAGTGCAGGAAGAAGAATGAACTCCAAAGATAAAGAGGCAATTTTGAAAAAAAAAAGCTCCATAAAAATGACACTTTACATAAAGCAAAACGTTGATATGAATATGAGCTGACCAATCACAGTGGGGGGGGGCATGAATGGAATGGTGACTCGTATTTCTAAGGTGCTAAAAGAAAAAGGGGAAAAAAGTCCATTTGGGATTTTACGACCTGTGAAGATATCCTTCAACAATGAAGGACATTTTCAAGTAAAACAAGTTGAGATGATTGACGGTGAGCCGACCACAAGGAAGGCTAGAGGAAGCTCTGGGGGCTGGAAGGAAATGATAGCAAATGGTAACACGTTTCTCAGGAAGAATGAAGAGGGTGGAATGCTTTCTTAGAAAATCCAGGTAAAGGAGGGGCATTGGGAATATGGAGGCTGGGGCGGAAGAGGAAAGGCTCAGGACACACCCTGAAAGATTGATTGATTGATTGATTGATTTGGCTACAACCCCCAAATCTGTCTCACTCAGGCCCGGAGCAATGAAGTGAGCCTTCTATGGACTGAGACCTCTGAAACCATGAGCCCCAAACGAACTTCTCCTCTTCTACAATTGTTGTTGCCAGGTCTTTTGGTCACAGCGGTGACACAGCTGAGAAGGGACGGACACCCAGAATACATCTAAGAATACAACCCAGCAGCAAAAAATAATCTGGTTCCCTCAATGGACAAACGTTGGGAGCAGATATTTGTCAAAGGAAGGTCTACAAATTGCCAGCAAGTGCGTGAGAAAATGCTCAGTCCTTGATCATCAGCGAAATGCAAATGGAAACTGCAATGGGACACCACCTCACCCTAGTTAGAAGAGCTGCCATCAAAAAGAAAAAGGAACAACGCTGGAGAGTTCAGAGAAGGGGAGCCGCACACACAGCTGGTGGGGATGTAAGAAACAGAGCCGCCTCCTGGTCTGGTGGGCCGCTACTGGTGCAGACCCAAAGGAAACCAGGCAATACGTCGAGGAGTCGCCTGCACCCGCGTGTTTATTGAGATGCCGACAAGAAATCAAGTTAGGTGTCCATAAGCAGTGGAATCTTATTCAGCCATGCGAAGAGCAGTGAGAGTGACGGCAGAGAGGGAAGAGGCCTGACCATGCAGGACACTGTGGGTCCTGGTGAGGACTCCCACAGCTTTCCCCCCCGGGAGCCACCAGAGCCTTTTGTTTGTCTGTTTAATTTGTTTTCATTCCTCTCCAGAGCCTGCCGGTACCCCACCTCCCTTTACTTACCACATCCCAGCTTCCCTGCTCCGTGTCCATTGCTGAGACTCACCTTGTCCTCTCTTGCCTCAGGGCCTTGGCACATGCTCCGCCCTCTGTCCTGACACCCTTCTTTCCCCTGCCTTTTGTTTTCAAACTCCTTCTTGATTTCTCAGTGTAGATCTCACTTTGTCCCCCAAGCCTTCCCTGGTCACCTTAACTAAAGCCAGGCTCTCCCCTGGGAACTTTTTAGAAATGAAGGGATGGCTATGGGCAGCCATGTCTACATGATTCACATCCTTCCTCTCGGGTCCCCAGTGATCTCTGAGTTCTGTCAAAATGAGGCCCGTGTGGGGCTGGATCACCAGCTCCCAGTGCACAGTAGGCGGTCAATCAGTAATTGGAGGGTGGGTTAAAGGCAATCTCCTGCTGGGTGCGGTGGCCCTTGCAACCCAGGAGGCTGAGGCAGGAGATTCACAAGTTTGAGGCCAGTCAACTTAGCTAGATCCTGTCTCAAAAAAAAATAAATTTTTTTTTAAAGGGGCTGGGGGGTGTGGCTCAGTGGTTAAGTGCCCCTGGGTTCAGACTCTGGTACCAAAAAAAAAAGCAATCTTTGCCATTGGAAGGTGGATTCTCACCCATTTCACCTAGAAACACACCGTGAGCGGGTGCTGGGTGCCAGACACCACCCCACTCGCTGGGCCCAGCGGTGGGCCTCAGGATTCCAGGATTCCACACCCACCTCAGGTGCCAGACACCGCCCCATGCCCTGGGCCTCAGTGGGCTGACCTGAGAGGCAGGAGAAAGCTCTTCCCGGGAGGTGACCCAGAAGGGCAGCCTCCCTGTCACCTCCCTCTGTGCACACCGCACCTATGCCTGAGACCCCTCCCAACAAACCCCGGTCCCTTGTCACCCACCGTGTCCGAGGGTGGGAATGGGGTCCAGGGCTCCGCCTGCCTCCGATGTCTGCCCCCACAGCTGCCAGCCAGGAGCCCAGGTTGGGAACAGGAAGCAGCTAGTGAATTTGCAGGGACAGATAAGGGTTCAGGAGAGTCTTGAGCAAGAGCTCTGGTGGCCCCAGAGATCAATATCAGAGTGTGTGAAGGGCCTGTCCCTAGATGTGGGTCCCAATAGGCTCAGGGCCTGGGGGCGAGCAGGAGTCCCTCCAGCTCCCTGCTCTGCCCTTCCTGGCGTCCTGAGGTGAGTTCAGATATGCAAAGCACTGGGAGTGCCCCTGGCACAGAGCCCATGCCCAAGCTTGGCCAGCTGTCATCCCTGAGAGGACTTCCCTTCTAGAGAGGGTTCCGGCGGCTGCACTTCACGGGACGCTTGAGAGACACCAAATAAAAGACAACATGGAAAAGGCTGCACGCTCTCTTTTCCCTTGGAATTTCTACTTCCGGTTCCTGGAAGACCTCTTAGAAATGGATTGCCCAGAGGGACACA